AATTCTAGGACAGTGAAAATTTTTTTTCAATAAAGCAGTATTTTTGTGGCAGGGTGATTTCCAGAAATATTCACATTTGTGTGTGTGTGTGTGTGTGTGTGTGTTGTCCCTCTATGTCCTCACTTCCTATCTCCCTGCTCTTTGGAAGCCCCTAACAGACCTCTTGCAACAGGGATTTCACAGTGTAGAAAGCAGAAGCAAGCTTAGGTGACCAAATATTTTTTTATAAAAGCCTGAAAATCTCATTGATTATATACTATCATAAAGGAAAAGGAAGAGGCATTGGAAGGCCCAAAGGGAAAAAATAGGAGAGATCCCTACCCCCCCAGCCCTACGGAGAATGGAAGAGTATGTCTGAGGCAGCAGGAACTCAAACACTGATTGAGTGCAATTCCTCAAGGATAGGGAGGGGATGGCTCTAAGGTACCTAGAGGGAAGCAGAGTTTATATCCCTAAGGCTCTCAGCTTTCCTTCTCCTACTGCTGGCATGGAAAATGAGGGTGTCAGTAGTGATTGGAATAGGTTAGAGATTAGTTGCCCTCACCCTAATTAATGGGTACCACAAATGTACCCTGAATTCCAGTTCTACCCTTGAAGGAGTCCTCAGTCATGACTGACAGAATTTTCTGCTTCTCTGTTAGGATAGGGAGTTTGAAGTCAGAATTTAGTTACAAAACAAAACAAAGTACTATTTATTACCTACCCACATCTTAGTTTGCGGACAGATAGATGCTCATTCCATTTTTGTTTCCTTGGAGAACATAACAGTACTTTTAATCTTGGGATTTCTGGCCAGGCAGATCATCATCATCCACTTCCTGTTAGCAATGGGTGCTGCACAGAAGCCTTTGAGAAGCCTCATCAGATGCTCCATGTACTGAGAGAACAACATGGAAAATGTGCTCAGGCATCCAAAGAGAGAAAGTGGAAAAGCAGGAAAGAAACTGAAGGAGCGGAGGAGAGCAGCCTTCAAGAGCCCACCAGACAGCAGCTATTCTCCCAGAGAAAGAGACTGTTTCCCATTGTGGCTATTAAGTGATTTATAATTAAGTACCTCTTCATAAGGTGGTGCTCCAATTGTCGTCATGTTTCCCAGACCACTTATTAACAGGTTTAAGGGGGTCTACCTGGCTGGGAACAATTCCCAGAGATCCAAGGCTAGGGGTGGGAGTAGGGGGAAGGGAGTCCTTTCTTGGGCTTACAAGGGCCTCTGATCTAGGCTTGGAGCTAGGAGACTGATCTGGGCTCAGTGGAATAAGGAAGTAGCCAGGGGTCCTCTTTAGTTTTAGGATGCTATTACTTTGGGCTTGCTGCTGAAGTCATTTCTGGGATTTATTCATCCTTAATATCCCTAATGTGCAACTAACCTGAAGCTTCACTACAAGTATGATAGAAAAATGGAGATTTGGAGTCCACTTATCTGTCTGTGTGAACTTTGGTAAGAGTCTTAACCTTTCTGAGGCTCAGTTTTCTCTTCTTAAAATGAGACATCCTAAAATGTACATAACAACATTAACCTCATAGAGTTAAAGATTGCACAAGATGACATGATTAAAGTGTCTAGTGCCTGCACATATCAATGATACAATTCATTTGGTGATGGATGAATTATTAGCAGTGATCTTTTCCATCATATCTTCCACCCCTACCTGCCCATTCTGTTTCTCATCTTGACTTACAGTCGATGTACTCTATTACCATGAGCAAATCATTTCACCTTCCCATGGCTCCTTTCCCACCTCTATAAAGTGGGGATGAGATCTTCTGCCTACCCACCTGCATCAGGGACCTTTTAAAAGATAATGGAGATGAAAGGAGGTTGCAGATTAGAAAGTGCTACCCTCTGGTCCCTTGCTTTTATTGGCCAGGTCTGAATCCCAGAAGCTATGCATCCCAGCTAAAGTGTAGGAATTATCCAGAGAAAGAACATGGTCGGTAAGGCCTAGAACCCACTGGGGGTGGGGGCAGTGGGGAGCTAGTAGCTTACCCACAGTGTCATCCAAAAGGCTTGTACAAAGATATTTTTTCTGTCGGATTTATATCTGTTCTAAACAGATACTAGGAACAAAGGCCTGTTCACCAGGCACAACCCCAGTCCTTAAGCAGACTAGAGAACAACTCTGGAGCTGACCAAGGTGGGTTTGGTTTCTTGGTGATCCAAAGAACCCTCCACCAACAACATCTCTCCACTGACACCCCCTTCCAGTATTGCAAAGGGCTCCCCAGAGGGTCACAGCCATCAGTCACAGCAGAACAGAAAAAGCTCTTACCACTCATCTCGTCCAGCAGGTCCAATGCACCTGTTACGTGGGATCCACACCACAGAAAATAACTCCACCCCAGGCCAACTGAGTCAGAAAGGGGTGAGGAGTGCTGGATTTAGGCAGTTGAGAAAGTTCTATAGGTTACTCAGTGGTAGCCCAGTCCTCTGACTTGCATATGGAAACTAGCCTAGTAAAATCTATGCCCATGCCACCCACATATTATTGATGGGGAAACTAAAACTCAGAAGGGATTTTCCCAAACCCAACTGATTAATGAGGGATGAAGATTAAGGCAGAAATTTAGGCTTCCCATACTACAAAACTACCTGAATTTCCAATGGATGTAATAAGACCTTCCTGAAAGGTCTTGCTACAAAAGCTCTCTGAGCAACCATGACCCCATTCCTTCCATGAGCAGTACATGGCAGGCAATTCAACATCTATGAATTATTAACTCCCCTCCCAGGAGCTTCTCTCTTTTCTCTCTCATTAAATTGCTTTTATTTTGGGTTTGCTTGATTCATGAGGTACTGGGGGCCACAAACTTCTTTTCTAGTCTGGGAAGGGACCCCAGGGAGCTTTCCTATGTGTCTGTGGCGATGGTCTACAGTCTACAGCAGTTTCAAGCAGCGACTATTTTAGGTCTTCTGGCTTGGGCATGGCAATTGGGAAGAACTCAAAGGAGCCCACTAGCAGGTGTCAGAATCCCTTGCTTATCAGGAGCCAAGGGTAAAACACATTTTTCCCACTCAGCCCCATAGCTGAATAAGTGGAGCAGGCAGCTGCCCAGGCAGCATCTTTGCCCATAAACCTAGGTGAGGAATGCCATTTCTGCAGCTTGGCTGGGGAGTCCCACCATTGGTCTTATCCTTTTCATGGAGTCATCAGTAGGAAGTTGACACCTCTGCCTCCTGGCAGCACACTTGCATTAACTGAGGCTAATTTTAGAAGCGCTAACCAGCCTCTGGCAGTTCTCAAAATGTGAAAAGTGTGATGGAGAGATTACCAACACATCATCAGACATATGGAGGGCATGACTTGGATAAAGAACTGGTTTCCCATACTTTTAGTTTCAGGTCTGGCTTCTGTTTCCCCAATGGATGACCCCCACCCCCTGACAGCCTTCTTGCTTTCTCCATCTCCCTTCAAGGGCAAACTCAACAACCATCGGTCACAGGTATGCTGCTATGGAACAAACCATAAAAATGCACTTTTGTGATGGGGAAGGGTCCTTCTTGAACCCAGTTTATTAGCATTCAGCAAAAGAAATATATGTTGTTACAAATAGGCAGTGCATCAAGATATCCGGGTGTCAGTGAGAGCTAGGATTGGAGAAGTCACAATCCAGACAATTATGTGATATCTCAGGGATAAGGAAAGGGAAACTAGGGCACATCCAGGGATCATGCTCCCCATTTTACACTGGGAGAGAAAAACTCTTACACTTGGGGTGGGTATGTACTGCAGTTACCAATTTCTTCCCTCTGTCCTCCAGCCATTTTATTTAATGTGACTTAAATATACATTCCTGGTTTCTTCTCCACTCCGCCCCCATCTACAGCAGGGAAAATAAGCACCAATAGTAACAGGAATAGTAAATCCCTGTCTCTTGGGATGCCTGGGTGGTTCAGTGGTTGAGCGGCTCAGGGAGTGATCCTGGGACCCCAGGGTCCCGGGTTTGAGTCCCACATTAGGCTTCCCGCATGGAGCCTGCTTCTCCTCTCTCTGCCTGTGTCTCTGCCTCTCTGTGTATCTTTCACGAATAAATAAAATATTTTAAAAACTCCCTGCCTCAGTAGGCCAACCCTCACACATACACATGCTATGTGGATTTTCTTCTTTGGAGTGACTGTAGGATAGAAAAGTGGGAATCAGGCCAGCAATCCATTACCCTCATAGTCACTGTTCCCCAGTGAACTGGAGCAGGACAGGGCAGAAGGAATGGTGGTAGGGGGATAGATACCCCCAAAGCAGCAAGAGGGGTCAAGGAGTTCTCCAACATCTCTTCTGGGCAAATGTCACAATCAACTGAGCTATTCGGAAAGCTTCACACAAGGGTTTCCCCAATGAGGTGGTTGAAGCATCACCGCCATCTGTCTCCTCGGCTTCTTAGGGAGAAAGGGCATGATAGAAACTCCATGTACTCCCCACTGGGTGGAGAATGTCCTCAAAATACTCCTTTGGAGAAATTCAGTATGACAGCACAACATAGGGACTTATTTCAAAATGAAAGCATAAAACATAAAAATAACAGAAAGAGAGACAGAGACAGAGACAAGACAGAGAGATGGGTTCTTCCAGAAAGTCTACATGTAGGGAAGGGGTAGGGCTCAATAGAAAAAATAAAGCCATAAAACAACATGCTATCTACCAGGTTCTCCATGCCTGAGTCACCTGGCATTTGTCATAGTACCTGGGAATCTTTTGTTATCCCTATCATGGAGGGAGGGGATGGACACATTGGGGTGAGGAGACGGGAAAGAGAGAGGGCCCTAGGCAGTTGAGATACCAGCCCTCTGCACAAGCAGCAGCAATTTCTGTGTCGTCTTTGTTTTGTTTAAAACTGTAAACAGCACCACTTAAAAATAAAATATATCAGAAAAGAACAATTGATACATTGTTTTCCATGAATATAAAATGCAAACAATACAAAAATAGATAATTGACTTTTGAGATATATATATGTATGTGTATATATATATGTGTGTGTGTGTGTATATATATATATATATATATATATATATATATATATATATATATAACTTATATGCAACATACACATGGGTAAACTTGAAGTCTCCCTGCTAAATCCCCCATGCCTCCCTCTAGCAATTGGGCCCAGGAGCCAACTGTGAGTGGGGTGGTAGTACTGACAAGGGTGGGAAAGTTGCTGACAACAGGATGAGAGGAACACACTCTGGGTGTAGGAAGCTACTTCCCTGCTTGATACAGCACTAAGGAAGGAGAGAGACTAGTGTTGACCAAAGCTTTTGGCCCAGGAGGCTCATGGACAGGTGCCCAAGATGGGTGCCCCACACGGCAGGGCTTTCTTGAAGGTGTTAAAACACTAAGAAACTGGTAGCCCTGAAAGAAGCCTGCTATTTGGACTTCTCTATCCAGTCACTGGTTCCCCAAGGATTGGCCTCATCTGAGAATTCTCAGGTCAGAGCTGACACTAGATTAGCCTGATGGGTAGCAAGATGATGGCAAACACCTCTTCTCAAGTCATATCTTCCCTTAAATCACAACCACAAGCATGATCCCAGGACTTTGCAATGCAGACATGTTGTTCATCTGGACACAGCCTAAGATATGTGGGCTTGACATCAATACCTTTAGTAGTCCAGGGCATACCTGGTGTCAGCCAAGCAAGCACTGGCTATCTTTGGGGAGAGGCCTGGTTTGTTCTCCCATTGTCAATCTGTGCTGCCATCACACGTTCCCAGCTAGATCTTCCTTCCTCTTCTAGGCTGCAGCTAGGATTTGAACATGAACTATTTGGATATAGAGTGAGACTCAAAGGAGCCCACTTCTGCAGCCATGTACCCTGATTATACCACTTCTGGTGGTGAGAATCCTGTCCCTGGACTGGCAAGGACATTGAAATGGCTTGCAGGCAGCAATGTACAAACCATGACATGTTGCTCAGTTCTAGGCCCTACTCTGTGGTATATGACCTTCCAAAGCCCAACAGAGTGTATCAGTACAATGGCTGTTCCCCTCAGGGGCAGCACCTCTCTTATTTCCCTCTTTTCAATGAGAGAAGCCCTCTGCCCTTGGCCAAAGGCTGACCACCTACTTTTTCTCTTCTTAGATAGGCTGGAGGCCCAGCAGGCTCTGGAGGCTGGTGATGGCTCTACTACCTGCTGTGGCTGGCACAGTCCACATACAGATAGGAGTTGAACTGCCCTGAAGGCCAAGCAGAGAGAAAGGAGGCAAGTAGTGGGATTTCCCCTGTTGTAAAGGCATTTGGTGTTTATTTCCTGCCAAACAGCCAGGCCTATTTCAGCCCCACCCTCCCAGGGCAGCTTTGATAAAGGCCAGACAGTTGGAATTTGGGCACTTCTCTCCTGGGATGCTGTGCTTGGGGTGAGGGCCTTCCTTGTCCTCTTTCTCCAAATCCATGATTTATGTATTTCTTCACAATGCAAACAGCCTGGAGAGTTGGACTAGGTCCCTTGAGCAGTGGTGCTAAGTATAAACTCATTTGGTACTTCCAGTGGGTAAAGCTTTTATCAGAGGTTTGCTTTTTGTGGAAAGAAGCACTACCAACCCTAATCTGAGAAATGGTGATAAAAACCAGCACAAATACATTTCCTGGCCAAGGGGAAGTTTGCCATAAATTTTGCTCCCTTGACTCAGAGGCCAACATTCTGTTCACAAGAGCCCAGTTGCCCTCCTCTCTTAACAGGCATAGAGATAAGTGGGGTAAGGGGCAGGGGTAGGGAGGCAAGCATTATAATTTAGGTCAACACATCCAGGCAAAAAATGTCCCATATTCTATTTCCAAAAAAGAAATTAAAAATAATTTTTCTCTTCTTGATTAATGAGAGGTTGAGTCAGGTTAGATTAAACTGTTACAATGTCTTCCTGACAGCAACTCTTCCTCACCAGTATTTCCCAGCTAGTTTAACATGAAAAATGTGGATGCAGAAAAGTGCACCATTCACTCCATAAATGGCATGGAGTGAATGCAAATCAGAATCCTGAAGCTTGGTAGAGTGAGGACAGGTCATAGTCTTTCCTCTTAAGAAGGCCAGTCCTTTGAGGATGCTAAGGACTTGGCTAATTAGAAATGAAAGCTCTTTAGAGAGACCAGAATAGCAGCCTAGATGCTTTTGGTATCCTGTGTCTTGAGAGTGCTAGCCTGGTGTCTCTGGAGCCTCTTTACAGCATCCAAATGAAGGGGTGGGCAAAGGTTGAGGAACTTTTTCTCTTCTAAGAAGCTGGGTTACCTTGAGCTCTGCAATGTCGAAAATTCTCTCCTGCCAGCAGGGACAAATGGACCTCCTTTTCCTATCCTTCCCTTGCAAGCTGCAAGAACCCTGACACCCTATAGCCAAGCCTAATTTAGGCCACTTCTCTTCCTGTATCTCAGTTAAAAGAATATTTTCCTTGTGAAGAAATTATTAAAATTTCCTTTGGAGTAAAAAAAATTCAAGTGACTACAACTCAGGCATCACAAGCCTAAGAAGAAGGAAAAAAATCCCATCACTCCACAACTCAAGACTTATGGTAGTATCTACAATAGAGCCCTAATTTGTCTTATGTTTATAACTGAATGAATTTGATCATTCCATTAAGTGGATAGCATTTTTGTCTTTAACCTAAGCTATGGCAGACCAGATTAAAAGGCCCCCATCTGGTTACAATGACAAAGTCCATAGCAATAGGCAGTGAAACACATGCTACTTGATCCTCTCTAAGGGCAGCTAGCTGGGGTGAATAGATTATAATCATCTGATGTAATGGTGAAAGCTATGCCAAGACTGAAGGAAGTGGGGGTGGGGAGGATCTGTACCATTATTTCACATTGTTAACAGCAAACAAGACCCCTGTCCTCAAGTGGAAAGCAGTGCAGACCTGGCTGCTCATCAGTGGTTCATCATTCACTGTGTGTGGGGGGAGGGTGGCAGGGGTACTAAGCCTGTGTCAAGGATGCATGCTATATATATAATCACTAACTGGGCAACTGGAATAGGCACAAAAGTACAGCATCCCAAAAAACCCTACATGGGTAACAAGAAACCCCAAAAGGAAAAGCTGGAGCACAGAGCAATAGCAGCCTCCTAGGGCAGATGTACTCAAGCTGAATGTGACCACAGATTGGCAGATGAGGGAAGTGGGAAAACAAAGGCAAAAACTCATTGGAGCTTTCCTTGGCCAAAAGGATTTTCAAGTTAAATAGCAACCCCCACCACCCACCCCTCTGCCCAACCCCTGTTCCCCATTCACATGCTCAGGCCCCATGCCCCCACTCCAGAATAGATAATGACTACTCAGCTAGCTTTCCATTCACAGCAGTGGAGTAGCTGGTGGGAAGGGGGAGAGAGGCACCTTGCTCAGCCATCTCCTTTGATAGGTCAAGGCTGGAAGCCTTGCAGTGAATGGGTTGAGGTTGTTGGGGCTCAGGCTGGACCCTGGGCAGCTGAGGGATGCCATGAGTGATGCCTACAGGCTTGGCCTGGGACAGAGGACTGGAGCTGAAGCCTCCAGAACTGGAAAAGCAATTGGGCTCATCAATAGGCAGCAGCATATCTTGAGGCCTGGCCCTCACACTCTGAAAGGCCTGTGGCTGCAGGTTATAACAAGAGACCATAGGCAGGGGTAGGTACGAAGGCCGAGATAGCTGAGGCCTGGATATCCCAGGTACCCTTGGCTCTGGCCCTGGTACTGACAACAACATTGACATGGCCACAGGAGGTATGCAACAGGCTGTCTGCTCATATGGAGACTGGCTAGAAGACCCATCCAACTGGCTGGGACTTATCCAGGCAGGACCTGGCCCCACTGGGAGAGGACAGGGAGCCCAGGCAGACCAGTCGTAGGCCCCTGGTGGTTCAGTATAAAGGGACAAAGGACTGTCTCGACCCCATTCTTCCTCTTCTTCTTCTTCATTTGAATCTTCCTGCTGAGCCTGAAGCTCATCAGACACTATGTATCCCTGGGCAAGGCGGGAATTGGAAAGCTCCAGCTCCAAGGTCTCTGCAGTGTCCAGGGAGCGACTCCTCCTGTTGAGGGCCATAGCAGCAGGTGGAGGTCGAGGGTGCATGCCAGGCAGTCCCAAATAGCGAGGGAGACTGCTCACACCCCAGGGCAGACCTTGGTAGAATCGGCTGTGGTAGTTGTTGAATGTATGTTTCTGGTAGTAGCCCAACTCAAAAGCTTCCAAGGAAGCAAGGTCTTCATTGTGGAACTCAGGATGCTCTTCACACTTGCCTTCCCCCTCCCGTTCCACATCAGCGATGTCAAAAGTCACCATAGGGGGCAGTTCAGGGAGGTTTTGAGCGAAGGATGAGTCAGAATCAGAGCTGCAGGACATGCTGGAGAAGAGGTTCCCGCTGCTGGTAAACTCCACAAGGGCCTGTGAGAAGCTCACTGTGGCATTCCCTTCCTTTTCAGCCTCCTCTTCCTCTGGCTCCTCAGAGGGTGAATAAGTAGGGTAGGCCCTCCTGGGAGATCCTCCAAAGTTTGCTTCTTGCATGTCTGGCTCAAACATAGCATCACTTTGGAAGAGCTGCATCAGACAGGTACTTTGATCTTTCTTGGAGCAGATTCCCTCAAAACGCTTCTCCAGAGGACGGAAGTCCCTCCAGTCTGGCTCACTGCTTGCAGTGGCAGGGAAAGCTGAGGTGGTTGCCCGATGAGATGTCTGAGAGGCCCCTGATGCCCCTGCTACCAGGCCCATCACTGATGGGCCTAAGGGCCTCATATGATATTCTATGATGGGCTTCTCCTGCCAGGTCTGAACCTCTCGGACTTGAGCCTCTTGAGCATGGGCCTCCCGGACCTGGGCTTCCCTGGCATAGGCCTCTTGGGCCTCTCTGACATGAGCTTCTCGGACATGGGTCTCTCTGGCATGAGTTTCTTGGGTATAGGCCTCCCTGGTGTGAATCTCTTGGGCACATGCCTCCTGGGCCTCTCGGACCTCAAGCTGCTCTCGCCGAAGCTCCCAACACAACAACTGTTTCTGGATAGTCACTAGCCGTTCTTCCTCTGTCTCCATTGCCCCAGGTGGCCTAGAGGAAGAAAAGGGCTCAAAGTTCAAGAAGGGGTCAAATATCTCAGAGCTGTGACCATGGAGGTCATAAAGACAGTCATCCACAGGTGGGGAGGTCTCAAGACTATCATCTGGCTCATAGAACTCATACAGGGCATCTCCACTGTAACTGTCTCGGGGAAGGCAATCCCTGCGGATAAGCCCCAAGGCCTCACCTGAATCATCCTCAAATCCAGGTGTTGTGGAGTCATAATAACCCTCATCACTATTGGGGGCAGACTCTTGCTGGTCACTCTGAGGAGTCAAAAGTTCCCCAGGAGCTAAGCCAGGATAAGATCGAACTGAGTCAAGGAGCATGTAGCCATGGTGGCCTGGGGATGTGATGGGATGGTAGCTCAAATTCAGATTAGACTTTGAATACATCTGGGCACTTGCCCACAGATATTCTAAGTCATAATCTTCTTCCTCCTTGACATCCTCTTCTTCTTCCTCTAATTCCACCTCATCTTCCTCCTCTTCCTCCTCATCATCATCTGGCAAGGCCATCTCCTCTCCACCTCCTTGGTAGGTCACTAGGCAGGAACTTCGCTTGGTCCCATCTCGATTGGCCCTCTGGCCTCCAGAAGCCATGCTGTCTGTCATACTGTCCATGTCTTGCTCTGCTATGATATCACCACAACCTGTCAGTGAGTCAAAACTTTTCAGGGATGTGACATCCCCAAACAAGAGGCTCAGCTGGTCCCCAACAGGGCCATTTGGTGGATTTACCTCTTCTGACATCACTTTCTCCCCTGTTTCTGGACTATGGGGCTCTTCTGGGCCACTAGCTTCTAAGGTAGGCTTAGGTTGCATAAGTGCTGAAGCACAGGCCTCCACAGATTTTTCTGGATCTTTACAGGGTGTCTTCTCAATGACAGCTGGAAAAGGCTCTGGTACTAAAGAAACTTTTGACCCAGGAGCATCTTGAGGTTTGGCATTTTCCTTTCTGGGGGCTTGGAGGATATCCTCAGTATGGTGCAGAATGACTGAGCTCACATGTTCGTGAGGCCTAGCTCTAGCCCCTTCAGGCCCCTTGGCCCTTAGCTCACTTTTTTCAGCCCCAGAGACCTTGCTTTTCCGGTGACGGCGGATACTGCTAAAAAAACCTTTCAGGCCTTTCTTTGGCTTGGACACAGAAAGAGCCTTCTCAGCCTCAGCTTTCTCTGTGGCTCTAGCCACAGATGTCTTGCATCTGGAGTCTGTCTCCAAAACCCCATGGGCACTCTGGGAACTGGGAAGTTGGCAAGATGATTCAGGCAAAGGTAAGGCAAAGCTGGTTCCTTCACTAAAAATGTCTTTAGGGCCATGGGCTGCTTCAGTCAGACCATCATGAGTCTTGCTCTTGCTAAGACCCTTCCTGGAGATGCTTTTCCCAGAACCTTTGCTTCGCCCCCCTCCAAAGAAACTAGGCAGGGTACAGATGCCCTTCTTGCCACCAAAAAGTTTCATGGCAGTTTTCCTTAGCCTACCTGGGCCAGATGAGGGTGGTTCTGACACTGGCCCTTCTGTTATCTCAGCTGCCTTGTTCTTAGCTCCTTTCTCTGCCCCTTGGTCCTGAGTGTCCATAGAGGCTGATGCTCCTTTGGCCTGAGAAGCTTCATCCTTTCCAGTCTCCATGGTGATGGAGACAACTCAGGTATGTTCAGCTGAAAAAGCAGCCTTCTGGCTTCCAAGCACTGTTATACCATCATCAGTCAAGAAGCATCCCAGTTGGGTCTAGAGAAGATGAGAGAAACAAAGATAGAAAGAGTATACTGGTAAGCAAGCATCTAGGCTGGGTTTGTTTTCACAGATGTCTGTTATTTCAGGCTTGAGTGGAACCAGAAAGAAAATAAATGAAGGGAAAACCTTAATACATTCCATATGATTGGCTTGTGGGGCCAGCCTCCTCTGGGACCCATGGCAACAAAGTCCTACATTGAACAATAGGCAGCCATCACCCAGCCGCTCACGGGGTTCACTCCCTTCAGGCCACCCTAGGCTCAGGAGAACACTGGGCAGGGAACTGCAGATGTGGGAAATGCCCAGTTGTGCTGACCACAAGAGGAATTATCAAAGGGGGTAGAGTAGGGGGAGGCAAGAAAAGCAGTAGGGAGGTCAGCTCCAATGACAAAATTTTTGAAAACCTGGCAAAATGGCCCATTGAGTCCTCACTGGGCTCTGCAAGACCTAGGCCATTAGTCTGGTTTCTCACTGACATTTTTCCTGGGGCTATATAGAAATGTAGACCTGAAGTTTCACCTCTTTCCCACAGGATCCCTAAATTGCCTACATGCCCATGCTCAGACCTTCAGAAGCCCAGAATAGGAGCCTCATAAATCCACATTCCAGAGCTATAATCCAGGATCTGCTAAAAGCACATGGTGGCCTTGGGGCAAGGCACTCTCCAAACTTCAATATCCTTGGCCTAAGAGGCCTGGCAATACTTCTCCCACATAGTGGTTATGTGAAGGGTAGGTCTAGGTCAGATTATCTATTGACTGTCCTGCTAGGAAAAAAATTTTAATGTGGCTCTTGGCAACTGGAGCCCTCATGTTCCACTTTAGAATCATGAGGCCAACTATTTCTTCTCCACTCCTCTCATTATTTTGGCCCCCATATAGCTCCCTTTCTAGAAAGGGAACTCCTTGAAGGCAAAACTCCTCGTGATTCATATTCCTGGCCTATAAGTTAGAATCTCAGTGCTACTCATAAATAAGCCTGGTATAAGGCACACGCTTCTGGTCTAGGCTCCCAATCTTCCAAACATCCAAATGCCACAGAGATGTAATAAAAATGACTATCCACCATCCACCTCAACTCATGTCCTTCATCCTAAGTCTTATGTTTTCATTCTAGTGACTATAGCTGGTTGACAGATGGATCAGTGACCAGTCTGCTAAAACCCTACGACCTATTCCTGGAAAGTTCCTCATCACTGTGTCCCCTCTCTGTAGGGTAGCCACCAGCAGACAGGCAGCTAGGGTAAAGAAGGGAGGCAAAACAACTGCTGGGACCCAGAAAGAGACAGGCAAGCCCTGTTGGTGTCCCTGGAGTAGTTTGCCAGCTCATCAACCCTATAATTGGTTGCAAGAGTATTAAGACTCACATATTCACCTGCAGTGGAAGATTACGGACCAGCACTGGGGATGGAGAGAGAAAAGCAGCTACCTACCCCTGACCTCATTGGAGGCTCTGATCCTGTCCTGCAAACATTAATTTTGTGTCTTGTGCCTTGGATTGACACTTGAATCATCAGTGTGACCAGGCTTCCATCAGGACCATTCTGCATAACTGAATATTAAACTTGGAGCAAGGTAATGGCTGGTTATCCAGAAAATAAAAGAGAAAAAATATCATCTGATCCTTTCTCTGCAGAGATCTGCAATGTCATTTGCTCGGGTTAGGTTTTTATTTTTTCTGGATGACTTATTTTTACATGATATTGTTCTAGCTCAGCTCCGTCTCCCCTACCAAGAGTTAGCCCTACAGAAGTGCCACCCTGCCCCCATCCCAAAATGGACAATCATATACACAACCATTCAGAGTTCTCTCCTCATGGATGAGATGAGAGCAGGGGCCCTATCATCTATCTGAATTCCCCACTTTACAAAGCACAGATGTTTTTACTTCAGCTCTGAAAATTTTGACAGTGTTGTCATTTATGGTGCTAGACATGGGAGAGATGGGACAGCAGTAGTGGAAATATGAAATTGTATTCCTCTCTGTGGAATTTGTGAAATAAACATCTCCTGAATATTTGGTAAGTGATAGACATTGAGCTCAGTTCTACAAAGTAGACCAAGAAGGGGAAACCCCTAACTAATGCTTTTGTGGGAGTGCCTGGGCTAATAGGTACAGGGTCCTAAATATAGGATACACAACATAATACAAGCCTTAATACATTGCTTAAGATGCAGGGTAGAGTATTATACTTCATACCTTGTTATCATATCCCAGGATAAATTTGAAAAGCAAAGATAACCCCTGGGTTCAGAAAAGCTACTTTGAGAAGGCATTCACTCTGAACCTTGTCAGACAGGAGTTAGTAGAAATGGCAATGATTTATGGGAGGGGATGAGTGAGACTAGGTAATATGGCTGGGCATCAAGAAAGACCAATGGCCAAGTGGAAGACCACATGGGCCTAAACATCCTTGTGGATAGAAAGCTGAATTTCCCTGCTAGGTTTGGGGATGGAGTTATGAACAGAGGGATTAAGCAAATTGAATTTAAAAATATTTTACTTATTTATTCATGAGAGACACATAGAGTCAGAGAGAGAAGCAGGCTCCCTGCAGGGAGCCTGATGCAGCACTGGATCCCAAGACCCCAAGATCATGACCTGAGCCAAAGGCAGATGCTTAACCATTGAGCCACCCAGGTATCCCTGGCAAATTGAATCTTAAAGAGGGTTGCTTTTCAGAACCTTGATGCCCTGGCTGGAGGGCAGTTCCTATTGGCCTTCTCTTACCCTTGCTCCTGTGCTCCATTGGGGTAAAAAGCCAGCCCCCTACTTCCTACATTGTCCCCTTCCCTGCCACAGGAATCTGCAGTGTGTGTGGAAGGAACCATGAGCTGCAGAGCTGGGTTCCAGGCTATGCCAGGGGACCTTGAATAGGCCAAGCCACCCTTCTTAGGCCTGAGCACTTATGAAATGGAGATCACTAGAGTGGTGGTATGAGACTTAGATGGGATAATGGATACCAAACATACTTTATAAACTGTAAAGTGCAGTGTAAATGAGAAAGATTGATATTGCTATTATTATTACCACCTTCCAAGTCAGATCTCAGTTTCTTATGAAGTAGTAGACCATGTGTAAAAGGCCATTTATTTGGGAAAGGCATTCACTGTGAGGAGCCCAGGGGACCAGCTGCCTTGGCCATGCTGAGGAGGAGCCAAATGTGAGGGGATTTTAAAAACAGGAGTGTGCATTTATACAAAGTCTTTTGATAAGGGCGATTTTAAAAGCCTTCTACATGTGTGTGGTGGGAGTGGGTGAACTAGGCAGCGGTATCTCTGAGACTGGGATTCTGTCTCCACAACTTCAGGGCCCCCTCCTAAGTAGGACCAGGGTCATCTCCGCTGGCAAGGACCAGCTTTGAAACTATGCTGTCTCCCATTTCCCTAACTTGTCCTTCCCAGGGCCATGTACCTCCCCACAGCCACCCATAATGTCTATGCCTATGCCCCCCACCCAAAGATAGAAGAATAGGAGGTGGCAGGAATCACCCATAGCTGGCATCCCCCTAGCCCAGCCCTACCCATACCCAGATCCCTTCTCCATACTCCTTGCTACCCTACGTAGTCCCAGTGCTGTCCTTCCCCAATGGGCTATGTGCCTTTATTTGGAGCCACAGAATTGACTGGCCAGGGGAGTGAGGTGGGGCAGAAGGCAAAGGGGCCAGCAAGGGACAGACTCTGCAACCCTTCCAGGTTGTAGCTCACTTCCCTTATGGTTCCTGCCAAGAAAGTGGTACTGCCAAATGCAGGGCCCCTCAACCCTTAGGTTTCTCAACCTATATGACTAAGGGCTACTCTAGGGCTACTCTGTGGTCCCTGGCAGGGGCTGTTCATTACAGCTGCTGCTATCATGGCAGGGAGTGGGATATGGCCATCTCTGCTCCAAGGACCAGCCTCAGGCCATGCTGGGACCAGTAGAAGGCTGACTACTAGGGCAGAGCTTGTTTCTCCTCCCTTCTTCTCAAAACAGAAGCAGGAGAATAGCCACAAACTTGCCCCAGGAACCCTTCTTAGTGAGTAGGAAACAGCTGCAGCCTGAGTCTTACATATTTTGCTCCCAGCTCAATTTCCTGGGGCTAGCTCAGGCAACTTAGAGTCCGGGGAAGAAGTGTGTGGATTCATGCAGTAGCTCCAGAGGCATGACCTCAACCAGTCATAGTTCCCTAGACCTCCACCAAGTAATTTTCCTGGGGGCAAGCCTACTCTGGACCCATCTTGTCCTTGTGTATGGTGGGGGTGGGGAGGTGGTAACTAAGGAAGCAGTGGTGAGGATAGGGACACCCCCTCCCTCAATACACACAAGAGTCAGTCATTTCTGCACTATAATAGGCTCTGCCTACCTGGGGGGAATCTAGCAAGTTCTTTCAGTTTCCTCAACTGGAAAATGAGGCTATTTTAAGAGTGTCTACCTCTTAAACTACTGTAAGGAACAAAACCAATGTATATCTGTATACCAAATAAAATTCATTATATAGTAGAGGCTCAAAAGCATAGCAACTAATTTTTTAAATAAATTTTTATTTATTTATGATCGTCACACACACACACAGAGAGAGAGAGAGAGAGGCAGAGACACAGGCAGAGGGAGAAGCAGGCTCCATGCACCGGGAGCCCGACATGGGATTCGATCCCGGGTCTCCAGGATCGCGCCCTGGGCCAAAGGCAGGCGCCAAACCGCTGCGCCACCCAGGGATCCCCAGCAACTAATTTTTAAAATATTTTCTTCCAATTATAGTTGGCCAATTTTCCAGCAGCATAACTGCTTGGTTTTTGTAAGTCACCAAAACTCCTTGGGCTTCAGTTGCCCCAAATGGTAAATGAAGGTGACTATGTAGTTATCTCACAGGAGGCTTTAGATGCTCTTTTAGCCAACCTTTGTTTTGATATTCAGGGACCTCCAGTTGAGCACTTGCCTCCAGTCAGCCTCCAGTCAGCTACTGCTAAAGGTATCAACATGGAAAGAAATGCAAATCAACAGGCAGCCTTCACCCA